AGAGTAACTTAAAATATGCTCAGTATAATGTTCAGATCTATATAAAATTGAAGGTTCTGAAAGTATGTAATTCAAAATTATACTGAAGATAAAAAATTAGTCTAAAAAGGAAAGAGCTCACGGAAACAATATAGCGCACATATTATCACTAATTCTTTTTTAAATAAAGATCAAAGTTCTAAAGCAATAGCCGACTATCCGAATAATATACCTTTACAAGTATTGACTTCAAAAGAATTCTTATCTCACTGTTGTCATAAATCCCCAATTAAAACTGACAACAGAAAAAGGTCAACTACATTCAATCAATACATTATATAGTAATATGATTCACTATATAAATAATATATATTCGATTTAAATTATTGTTCATATATATTAATAATGCCCCTGATGAAAATAATAATAATATATAAAATTTTAATTATCTTTATCATGATCATCAAAATGGTATTTCATAACATTCAAAATAAATAACACAAATTAAATGTAATCATGAATAATCATACATGAGTAATTAAATATAAATGCTTCTAAAACAATTAAATAGAAAATCATTTTAAGTAATGCATAAAATATACTAGTTGTTTATGTATATAATTATGAATACAATGAATATGAAATATATACACATCAAATAACACTTAATGACAAATATACTAATTCAAAAAAAAATACTAATACCTATCAATTGGGAATACACGTTCACATCAAAGCGTACTAATATTAAAAATTTTAATGGAAATGTATCCGAATGATAAAACCGTTGTAACAAAACATTGAAAAGAGTAATCAACAGCAATACTCAATAAAATAAAACTTAATATATGAAAACAAAACTAAATACAGAAATAACTAATAATAGAACTATAAGATTAAAACATTATGCTAAATCGTAAACATCAGACGTAAAGAAAGAATATTGAACTCTGATAATTAAACTTAAACCCAGAACACTAAATCTAAAATATAGAAAACTAAACGCATTAGCCTAAAATATAAACAATAAAAAAATGATAAATCTCTGAACCCTAAACCTATACCCTGAATTAATAATGAACATTATTCATATTTGTATAATAATTTTTGTTTTTTATAATTATGAAATCAGTAGCGTAAACACATAATTTAATATATATTATTTTTTCTTATTAACATAAACATTTACTCTTATAATATGAAGATATATTTAAATGTATATATATTTATTATAGAACATCATAAACATGAAATAGAAGTGATTGTTTTACTTTTAAAAAACTTTCCCATAATACTTGTACTATAATTATATATACATATCATAATAAAAATATAACTTATATTATAAAACAATTTATATCATTGTCTGCAAAATTCTCTATCAAGATAAAATATGTAGTTATCATATTATACATTAAGCATTCTATATGCATTATGTATAAAAAATAATATGCTCAAATATGTAAAGCAATATTAAAACATTAAACAATTTATATTAATAATAATTTAATGTTTCTATGGTTACTATATATCTGTTTAAAATATATATATTAATTCATCCATTTTTCCTCTCTCTTAATATTCGCTGATTTCTAACATGTTAAGAACAAATTATATTAGAGAAATATATATTAATAGAAATGTAATTTCTAATAAATTAAATGATTAAATTTTAAAAATAGTAATAGAAATTCACAATGAAAATAATATTTAATGTTATCTGATGTTCAATATTTATAAATAAAATAATAATAACATTATATTTGTTATTATTTTTTATGTACACAATGTCAACTGAAGTAAGTAGAGAAACGTAAATTTTATATACTTTTATGATTCAAAATAATATCTTACTACTTTGCATGGATTCTTTTAAAAATTTACCTATAATATTACACATTTTATATTTATATTAATATGTATATATTCTATAATTCATATATTTTCTATTAGTATTTGAATTACGATGATTATGTATTATACAGTGGTACAATATCTAATGCCGTTGGAGATAAAGGTAGTACAATAAAAATTGACGAATTCCCGATAAGTGAAGAAAATGTAAAAGATATAAAAGATATTATTTCTACTTATCTTTGGATAATAAAACGGTATTTTGAGTATGTTAATAAGAATGATTCATTGGATAAAAATAGAACATGCAATTATATTAAATACTGGTTAAAAAATGATCTGACAATTAAATATAATAATCAACGTAAAAGTATAATTAATTATTTGAATAATAATATTGATACATATAATATTGTTCCAAAAGAAAGTGGATGCATATTCGATATAAAAGTTGATGATGATGTAAAATATAAAAAAATACAAAAACTATATGATGTATATAATGAGTATAGGATGATAAAACATTTGATCACAAAGTATGACTATCTATCAACTAAATGTCTTTATATTAAATGTTTTATTAATAAATATAATGAAATCTTAGATAGCACTATATCACCCCGGGATGCTGATTTGTTTCCTTTATTAATATATATCAGGTGCATATATGAATATAATAAGTTTATATCTAATAAAAACTGCGACGATAATTTTCCAAACATAAGTGATAAGAATATTTCCGCATATTATAGAGAAAGATGCAATAATCTAAAAAAAGAATGGAATGTACGAGACCAAATAATGCATATACAAGGAAATTCTGTTAACTTTTTCCCTATTAATAATACCAATAAATATCTTATATTAACAACAGTATTCGTCTGCGCAGTTTTCGGAGGAATTTTTTTATATTTCTATAAGGTTAGTAAGAATTCAATTTAAAAGTAATCATTGTATGACCATTTTTATGTTAAATTTAGACAATAAATTGCATTATATATTAATATTATTAAGAATTCATTAAAATATCACTCTGTCCTTAGTTTAGAGAATCTTGGAACAGTTTACATTTTCGTTTTCAAAGAAAGATGAGAAAGAAAATGAATATGAATCACGAGCCATGTGAATATATAATAAGAAAATATGAATTTGATTGTGCAGTTCCTCATGAAAAAATGTATAACATAACATATAATTCTGTAAGGTGACAATCTTAAAACATTTACGAAAAAAGGTAAAACTTTTATTTACAAACTATATTTAAATGTATAATAATTAGAAATACGCATAAATTAACCTAAAAAATGTAGGAATACATTCATATAGTTAATAATCATAATAAAAGAAAAATATACATTTTAATAAAACATTTAAGTAAATATAGCGCATTAGTATAATAAAATGTTAGTTAACGTAATGAGTATTATTTATAAATATAACATATATAATTGTACAAAAAAATCATGTAATAGTAACTACATTATGCGTTAAATATAAAGAAAAATTGTAAAATGAAGTACATTCTATATTTAATCCTTATATATATTGACTTCTATGTGAATACTCGAATTAAATACAAACACATTAATTATAATATGTATGAATGATAAAACACACAAAAAATATATGTTATAATTGCACATTGAACCCAACAATCAAAGGGATGATTAAAATTATATAAATGTAAAAGATATTGTCATAGCTAGGAAGTGAATAACGAGAAAAGTTATTATTAATTTGAGTAGTAACATAATAATAGATAGACAATCATGATCGTACAAAGAGCATAGACAATGTATAAAAATTTTTGAATATAGTGTTAAATTATGATGTATTGTATAAATATATTTATTACTAAAAATTTTTAATTCCTACTTATCAATAAAAAAAACGCATTATTTTTAAATATTTCATATATTCTTTTCTAATATATTAAACTCATTTCATAATCATAATATTAAAATTTTTATATAATAATATAAAATTTATACAATGTTATTTATATTAAGAATGAAATTTTATTACTATCACCGCATATTTGTTTAAACAGTTATGCTTTTAAAACTTATTTTTATAAAAGAATATATCTTTCTACAGTTTCACACATAATTCAAGAAGTAGAATTTTATGCATTTTTGGGATATATCATGACATATTTAATTACTTATAATTATTCTTCTACAATATATTTTTGTGTAAAGAAAATATTAAAGATCTATTTAGATAAATCTATTGATATTTGCACAATGCATTTTCTTGTATATAAAGAATATACATTTTTTTCCTATTATATTTTATATTTGATGTAAATCTTATTATATTTTAAACATAAAAAACATTGTTATTCTAACATTTGTAATTACTAAAAATTATGGAATGTGATTTTATATATGCATATATATGTTAAAACCTTGTGCATCACATATAATATTCCATAAATAGAACTTGTGTTCTAGATTCTTTAACGTTTTATCTTTTAAAGAAAACACAAAAGTTCATAATTTAAGAATTTTTAGGATCACAATAGAATGTTAAATATAAAATAAAAAAATATCAGTATTATATAAAATTCAGCATAAATAAAAGAAATATGATAAAATATAAATAAATCATGAAGATTTCATTAATTAAATATAACATGCGATAATATATTATTGGAAAAAATATAAGGCTTGTTCTTATAATTTTACCTGTTAAAAAACACAGCATATTTATATTATTCATATTAACCTTAATATTGTACATAATATATATAAAACGTGTATATTATAATATAATAATATAAATCAAACAAAAAATACAAAAACATATTATTACATTAAATTATATACATATGCTATTTTTTTTTAATTGCGTTTTTAATTACTTTTATTCTAAATGCTTTTAAATAAGAAGCTACTTTTCACATATTATTATTTGCGATAATTTTTGTATTAGTGTACTAATATACTATATGTAATTAAAAAATGTATAAAAGAAATATATTCCTATACTATAAGTATAATCAGCTGCATATATTCCTAAATTTTTTATAATTATTTATGGGTATAACTAGTTACTACAAATTTAAATAGAATAAGTTGAAAAGTCATATTTTTAAATAGGCATTATATGATTATCTAGCAGAAGTATAAATTATATTATACTCCTTTTCATCAGGAACTCCATCATCACCCTCATATTTGCACGTTATATATTCGCACAGTTTGTCTTCCATATCCATACTCTTTCTATTTTTTCTTTTAATTCGAAGACGTGTATTTTTCCATGATTCTGTAAACTATTAATAGAAATGAAATATTAATGAATTTTTAAAAATACATTATTTATGAAATAACTTATTCTTTAAATGTAATATAAAAATAAGCATAACATATGTTTATTTCAAACTTAAATTATTATTAACCTTATAGAAATATAAAAAAATTGTTCCTATTAATATGGAAATGAGTACTGTTGTAATTATAACATTTCTATTCGTATTACTTCTAGCATAAATTATAACAAGATCTTTTTCTAAATCTCCCTTTTTTTCAAGTTCATTTTCTAAATCGGCACTTTGTGCAAGTTCATTTTCTGTAAGTGTCGTGTGATTATGTTTTTTATCTAATGATTCGTATGACTTGCAAAACAATTCATAAGCATTGGATCCATTTTCACCCTCTACATTGTCAAATTCCTTGCTGCACTTTTTATCGGATATCGATTTATTACGTTCACATAGATATCTAATATAATGTAATTTAGTAAGCAAATCTTTATCCTCAGAAACTTTAAGGGTTTTTATGAGTGTATTATAGTTATTAATAAAACGTGGAATATAAGTACATAATGGTGCACCAGGATGATTATTTGTGATCCAATGAATTATAAGCCAATATTCATTATATATATTATAAAGATATTCTATTTTTTCATAGTTTTTATCATCAGAACTTTCAAATTCAAAAGTACATTGGTTTACATGTGGATCAGAATTAAGAGTTTTAACATATTCATTCAAATAATTAAAAATATTTTCAGATTCATTATTATGTTCTTCTTCAATTTTTGCTTTTATCCAGTATTTAATAAAATTGCCACATTTATAGCTGTCATTTAATTTTTTCGCCTTAACATTGTTAATATATATTTTTATAATCCTACAATAAGAAAAAATACTTTGTTCTATATTTTTTTCAATACTTTGGGTACTCAGGAAATCATTAATACCTACATCACTACCTTGATAATCGGGGAAATTAGGGATTTTATCCCTGTACAATACGTAATCTTCGTAATCTAAATACTAATACAAAACATATAAATTATAGAATATATATATATTAATGAAAAGTTAAATAAGTAATATTATTGATATAGTGTTAAAATAATCCATGAACAAATCAAGGTATTTTTTAGCATAATATAAGCATATAAAATTTACGTATCACAACTTACATCATTTAACATTGTATACTGAAAAAATAAAAACTGGATTTATAATAATTTTACTTTATTTAAATATATTTAACAACACATAAAATTAAATATTTTTTGTATCGTAAATTTCTATTACAAATTTTAAAATTTAATCTTGTAATTTATTAGAAATTACACATATATTAATATATATTTTTCATTTGTAATTTGTTGTAAGCAAGTTACAAATCAAAGAATAATAAGCACGAAAGAAAACTTATGAATAAATACATATAGTTTAAACAGATATATAGTAAATATATAATTATGGAATTATTATTAATATAAATATTTCCTAAATTAAATAATATTTTACTCATTGAAATAAAGAGATTTTAATACATAATCCATACACAATGAGAAATATATATTATAATAAGTACATATGATTCTTTGAAAAATAATTATAGAGATATTAATATGAAATATTTTATAATATAATTTGTATATTATTATGACTTGTTTATATAATTTTTAGTATATATATTATGGTCACATATTTTCAAAATAAATGATTTACAATTATTTTGTGTCTAGAGTGTTCTATAAATATATTTTTATTAAAAAGTATCTTTATATTATAAAATAAAACATTTATGTAAAAATATAATATAGATTAAATTATTCGCTTATTATATGAATTATATAAATATAAGAAAAAACATATATTATATAAGGTTAATTAAAATGATATATTAGCATATTATGTAATATATTTATAACATTAAAATAAATGCCACTATTTTGTCCGACTTATGTTTTTTGTTATTAATAATATATTATTCTTATGAATTTAACTATTATAAACAGGGAAAACATGTATTATTTAATAATATATAAAATTAAGGGAAAATATATTACGGATTACTTATAATAAAAATAAAACTTATATCAAAAGGAATAAGTCAAATATATCTATCATTTTGAGATAAAAATGTTATATATTTCCTATTTGTGATATAATAAAAGATATATAAAAATGAAAAAATATAATATCTATAACACATGAAAATAACAGTTAAAATATGTGTAAAAATTATTTAACATTATATTTACATTAGAATGCATGTATAATAAACTACATAAGCCTATATTTGTAATGTGCACTTATAATTGTTATATATAGATATGTTTATTTAAATGAGTATTAAATTTTGATGATGCAATTATACACACAATATACTAATTACAATATTTTATATAGTATAATTTAAGCGAACATCTCCTACATATTAGATTAATATAATATTATGCTTATATATTCTGTATAAATTGATCATTTAATGTTCATGATCTTTAATTCTTTATGGTATAAATTTTAATAAATAATCAATTTTATAACTATATCTTAACCCTTGAATTATTATTTCTAAAAAGCATTAATTTTTTATTATTATTTATACATTCAGAATAAGATAATACTTGTACTCATCTTTTCTTTCTTTCTTTTTTTTTT